CTCATTTTATGAATCCTCCATTCAATTGGGTTATACATGTTGCGTTGTCTTCATATAAAATTTTGGGTCGTTTGTCACACTTCAAATCACATTTGTTTCGAATAAGATGTATTATAGACCTCAACTATACACATTCTTGACTTGCTTCATGTATAGCAATTATCTCAGTATGATTAGATGAAGTAGCCACGATTGATTGCTTAGTCGATCGCAAAGATATGGCAGTGCCTCCACATGTAAACACATGGCTGTTTGAGATCGAGTCTTGTGTGGGTCAGATAAATACACAGCATCGGCATAACCAACAAGAACGGGATTGCAATCATTTCCATAAAATAAGCCCATATCGGTAGTCCCTTTTAGATACCGCAATATGTGTTTTATTTCATTCCAATGTCTCCTTGTAGGAGCAGAGCTATATCTTGCCAAGACATTAACTGAAAAAGTTATGTTACGCATTATAGTTTTAGCAAGATACATTAGTGCACCAATTGCACTAAGATATGGTACTTCAGGACCAAGAAGCTCTTCATTATTTTCATGAGGCCGGAATGGATCTTTATTTATACGAGTGATATCAGAACCATCGGGGTACTCAATGGATGTGCTTTAGCGATATAGAATCACTTTAAAATCTTTTCAGTGTTTGCTGATTGATGGACAAAAATTCCATCTTACATATACTCAATTTGTAAACCAAGACAACATTTTATCTTTCCAAGATATTTCATTTTAAATTCTTTATTTAAACAGTCTATTGCTTTAGGAAGCTCCCCAGTAGTTCCAATGATATTTAAAACATCAACATACACAGCGATTATAACAAATTCAGATCTAGATCCTTTGATAAAGACACAAGGACAAATTGAATCATTCTTTTACCATTCTTTCAACAGGTACTCACTCAGGCGATTATACCACATGCGCCCTAATTGTTTCAATCCGTATAAGGATTTTTGAAGACTTATTTAATAAATTTCTTGGAAACCTCAATATGCTTTAGAACAATTTAAATTCAATGATTTCCATTATACGCATATCAAAATTTTCATGTATTGGCAGATTAAAACCTGAAATGACTACATCCACCACAGGAGAACATGTCTCTATATAATCAATGCCAGGATATTTATAAATCTTCTTCTAACACAAGTCGTCTTTATGTCTATCGACTTGACTTTTTCACACAAGAACACATTTATACCTCCACTGGCTTTATACTGTCAAGTGTTAGGACTATCCGTCCAACTTCACATTTTTCAGGTGAAGTCAATTTTCATTGCGTATTTTTCATTTGGCCGATCATTTATAATCCAAATTTCTTGACAGATTTGAGCTCACGATCCTCGTCAATATTAACAATATTGAGCGCTACATTATATTAACAATATCGTCGACGATCATTTTATTTCGGTTTTATTATTACCCGATAAAGACATAACTTATTGAGATATCTTTATCTCATTATTTTCATGTACCCGAGCCTCTCCCATAAGGTCTTATGAAGTGTTATGTCGTGGTGCTCTTCTATAACAGTTGCCTCCTTATTGTGACCATCTTGGACATTTGCTCCTATCTTTCTTCAAGGAGATTTAACTTTGGAACCGATTAGTCTATTACGCTTTGTGCGTGCCATAAAATCTGTCCATCAGGGACGTTATTCTATTTGGAGCATTAACAGCTGAAATATGACATTTAGCTTTGGGTCAGCAAATGCGTTTGGCAATAATTTGCAAATGAATTATCACTTGAACTTCAAGTTCAAATTTGCTTGTACGAGGATCTATATGAATTCATAATAACTCATTCCACGTATCACTTTTTCAGTTGTCCATTTTCTCCCCCTAATGTTGGGATCACCAACACATATCTCCAACCTTCTTTGGAGACCCATTTTGCATTGTGGTGGAACAATTAAATCATATCACATTTATATTTCTAGATGGAAATTATTTGGTTCCTGACCCTAAACCAATTGTGATAGGGAGAATTTACCGTAACTTGTTGGCTAGATGCGTACAAGTGTTGCTGTATAATAATACACGCCATACCAAATTTCAATTTGGGAGTTGTGTTCTCATAACCAATGGTTTAGCTATAATTGGAGGCATACAATTTCTGCTAAATCAACTTGGATTTAAACCAGCATTATCAAGATAAATCATCATAATTTACATTCTGGAACTGTGCTCTAATAATTTGAGCAAGCAACCTTGCAAAAACCAAACTGCAAGTTGATAACAAATGTACATGTGACCATACAATAGATGCATCTATGAAAATCATTTAATATTAAATGGCCCACATGGCAGATGACTTATGGTCTATTAAAAATTAGTCGACTAACGATGATTTTAGTTGACTAGATCGAGAGCGGAATGTAAAATAACAGTAAACAGAAAGAAATGACCACAATAATTTTATGCTGGTTCGGTACCGGTGTGGTACTTACATCCAGTTTTCGTTTGGTCATAAGGGTTCCTATTAGATCTTGAAAGTATTACAACAAAGATGGTTTTGATTCGTTCACCACCAACGAAGTACAGCAACAGTGAATATCTAATAATGACACAACTCTCTTTTGTGTTCTAACTCTTCCTATCTTTTGAGATACTGATAAACTTAAGATTATAGTGTTTAGGCTAAGAAGTAGAGAGACTTAGAAAACAATGTGTGTAGTTGTGCAAGCCTTCCAATTGATCTTAGCAGCCTCTTATAGGAGAGGAAAAGAGCCGTTCAGTCTTGACCAGAAATAGAGGCACGAGATCTTTAAAAGGATTGACCCAAGGGGTGCCTCTTCGAATCCTGCTCTTGGGAAGGGCCGGATTCGATCGTGACTTTCCCTGTCACAGCTTTCAATTACGAGACAATCAAGCCTTTGACCGAGCTTTAATTAAGGATACTGAATATTTGTTAGCAATAACTCCTTAATTGGTAATCTGATTTTCTTGATTGAGACCGAGTAGATCTGCATGCTTTTGATTCCTTCTTCAGGTCCATTGATTTAGCAATCACATCTTTAGATTGCTACTCACTGGATTCCTTTCCCTTTTGATGATTCTTGTGAAATAGAGTAATTGAACATTGTCATCATTGAAACCTTGGAATTTAACGTAACAATCTCCCCCTTTTTGATGATGACAATTAAGAGAGAATAAACATTAATTATGAAACTTCCCTTTTTAGGTTGCTCCCCCTGACTTGATGCTTGCTCCCACTGAGAGGTTGAATTACCCTGACTTGATGCTTGCTCCCCCTGAGAGGTTGAATTACTTCTCTACCTGTTTACTTCTCTTACCTGTTCTCTCCCTTTTACATCAATCAAAAAGGAAAAGGAAACAACACAAGCAAAAGTAATATAGGAGGTAATATACATAATAACTAGCTAGATAGTGCAATAAAAGTAATGGCTTCAGCAGAGGCATAGTTTATACAGACCAAAGCAAAAGAAGTATATAAGGACTACCAGCAAGCAAGCAAAAATAAGAAAAGAGAAAATATTGTTTTTGAAACCATCACATGAATACACATTAGTTTCTTCCCAGGAAGTACTTGAGGGTGTTGATCACTTTGGTGGAGAAGGAGTCATAGGAGCTCTCGACATCTTTGACAAGCTTATCCATCTTTTCACTCATAGAATTGAAATCCCCGATTCCTTGTCTCCGCGTAGCCCCTATATCCATTCTGAGCTTAGCCACATCTGTACCTGTCTCCTTAGTAACTTCCCTGATTTTATCCACCTGTTCCTTCATCTCAACCACTAGCTGTTTCACCTCATCCAAATATTTCTGCATCGGCTGAAGATTTTGAGAGGCAGTCGACCGAGATGCTGGTTGTTCAGTTTGAACTTCAACCGACATTGGAATACTGTCGACTTTGGCCCGTTTAACCCATCCATCATCACCCAAGGTGTACCCCATCATTGAAAAAGCTGTCTTATCATAAGTGCTAGTAATGTGCTTGGGTGTAAAGGGTGCCAAATCTACCTTCATAACTTCAAGGATGTGTGAGATGAGCAGACCATATGGTAAACAAGCAGCAGAAGAAGATATGTCCCTAATACTTTCAAGCATGAATTGGCGAATCCATACAAACAAATCTAGTCTTTTATTATTAACCAGACAGTAAAGGACAAAAACATCTCTAGTGGATAAAGAGCTAAGGGACCTAGTTTTGGGGAGTAAAATGGTAGCAATCATGTGGGCCAAGACATGATGTTCAAACTTTAGGTTCTTGGGGACAATATCAGGGGGGTTATCAGATAAAAAGACTTTGGCTTCTTCAAAGGATACTTCAAAATCTTTTGGCCAAGAATTTTGCACAAAAACATCAAACCCACTAAACTTAGAAGAGAAAATCTTTTCAAATTGATAAGAGCCCACAAAATTCTAGTGCCTAATACCATAGATTCGAGGTCATCTTTGCCATTCACAAAAAGGTTTGCATAAAACATCCTCACAGGTTCCTCATAAACAGATTTACCAACAGTGTTAAACAGAGAAGAAAGATGCTAAAAATCAAATATGGAGGTCACATCATAGTGCAGATTTTTCATGAGAGAAAGACTTATAGAGCGTTCATAAGCCATAGATTTTGACTTGTAAGACTCAAACCATGCTTTTTCACTCGGGCCATAAAAGATCAACTTGTCCTCAGGTCCGAATTCAGTGTTCTCTACCTTTCCTTTCTTGCATGCAGCCATGGGCCTTTTTCCTGCCTTTTTTTGACTAATGGGAGGATTTTCGAAGGATTCACTACTCTCATTGTCTGTTTTGAGAAAATCTGAGTCAATAGACGACTTCAATTTTACAGGTTCTTCAGGGTTGAGGGGTTTCTGACACCTTTGGCTTTGTCTGGTTGCAGTGGAGGAAGAGGGATTTCTTTTGGCCATGGTGAGAAGGTTTGTTTGATAAGAATGAGGAGAGTAATAGAGATGGGAGGGATTTTATCGATGCTTTTGGAGTAATGAAGGGTCGCCTTGGTTAAAGGATAAGGCGGGTTCAGAAGGAAGTGATGCTTCTGAAGTGACTGATCGGCGGCACTGATGAAGAAGCAATTATTACACCTATACAAAATTAATTAAGCCACACATAGTTAAGGAAATAAAATATTTTATAACACGGTAGAAAGATCTGATTTATAAATTTGGCAAAATGCCAAGTCATTTTCCCGAGGAAACAAAATCTTTTTTCCAAATGTGGTTTTGTAAGGATATCGGCAAGTTGAGAATCAGTACTAATAAATTCTAATACAATATCACCTTTAGCTACATAATCACGGATAAAATGATGCTTAATTTCTATATGCTTTTCTCTAGAATGATGCACAGAATTTTTCGATAAGCAAATAGCACTGGTATTATCACAAAATATAGGATTAGAGGTAAGAGATAAATCATAGTCGAGAAGTTGATGCATAATCCATAGAACTTGTGTACAACAACTTCCGACAGCTAAATATTCTGCCTCCGTCGTTGATAGGGCAACCCAATTTTGTTTCTTGCTATGCCAAGTCACTAATGCATTTCCCAAGAGTTGACACGCACCACTAGTGCTTTTCCTATCAGTCTTGTCACCTGCAAAATCTGCATATGAGAAACCCTTTAAAGCAAAACTGTTAGAACGATCATACAATAATCCTAGATCAGAAGTGCCAATTAGATATCTAATAAATCGTTTAACAACAGTGAGATGAGATTTCTTAGGAGCCGACTGAAATCTTGCACACTTGCATACACTGAACATAATATCTGGTCGACTAGTAGTAAGATACAATAGGGATCCAATCATTCCTCTATAAATGGTTTCATCAACCCTTTTTCCATTGTTGTCTTCATCGAGCACTGTTGTTAGACTCATTTGAGTGTTGATTGACTTTGCGTTTTCCATGCCAAAATTTGTGATAAGTTCCTTAGTATACTTGGTTTGGCTAATAAAAATTCCTTTAGGAGACAGTTTGATCTGAAGTCCGAGAAAGAATGTCAATTCTTCCATCATGCTCATTTCGAATTCTCCTTTCATGGAAAGAGCAAAATCTTCACATAAAGCAGATTTAGGACTACCAAAAATAATGTCATCAACATAAATTTGAGTAATAAGATTACCTGAACTAGAATTCTTAATAAAAAGGGTTGTATCGATATTACCTCTTTTGAACCCTTGATTTAAAAGAAAAGAGCTTAACCTTTCATACCAGGCACGCGGAGCATGTTTGAGACCATACAATGCTTTAGTCAGCTTGTATACATGATCAGGAAAGGTGAGGTTAGCAAATCCTGGTGGTTGCTTTACATATACTTCTTCATAGATGTAGCCATTTAGGAACGCACTTTTAACGTCCATTTGAAACAGCTTGAAGCCTTTGTGAGCAGCAAATGCAAGTAATATTCGAATGGATTCAAGTCTTGCTACAAGAGCAAAGGTGTCACGACCCAGACCGATGGGCCGCGACGAGCACCCGCTACCTTACTCAACCAAGTAACAGCATAACGTATCTTTTCATGTCATACTATCATAGGTAACTGAGCCGGAAGGCTACTGTGAGATAAATAGAATACAACGTGTGATACCAACCTAAACGTAAGATATACGGGCCTATAAGACCAAAATAACCACTCGTATACTGAACATAGGCCGACAAGGCAATACAATCTTTTACGTACATGACATCTGTCTACAAGCCTCTAAGAATATATAATTTTCAGAAAGGTCGGGAAAGAGTTCCGCCATACCAAACAATACACGTCAAAATTATACTAAACCAAACAAGCAACTCCAAAGCAAATGGAGCGCACCAACATCTTCCGCTTAACTGATAGCCTACTTGGAGGGCTCTCAACCTGTCTATTGGGACCCGCGGGCATGAAACACAGTGTCCCCAGGCAAAAGGAATATCAGTACGAATAATGTACCGAGTATGTAAGGCACATAAATAAGTACATAACAGACATGGAAGAATATAGAGTAAATGACTCAACCTGTAAGTTTGGATAACTCTGTAAATCATGAAATAATTATAGTGTCATGCATATGTGTATGAATGTAATGTCCTGCATAGGTACATGTTTCATAACATCATCAGGCATCTGAGGGAATCCCATTGTATCATCTCGGCCACTGTGGGCAAAATCATCAACGTATACCAGCTGATCAGGTGGTGGTGCGTATATAATGCCGTATCCTTTTCCCATATCCCATATAAATATAATATACATATATACGCGTATATAACGCCATCTGTTCATGGGTCAATGTACATGTATAAATGCATGACATGCATAAGAAATACGTTAATAAAAATTTCTCCAAATGCCATAAGAATCCATATGCCTTTCGGATAAACTTTATGAAATACGTATTTTTCTGAGATCCATGAACAGAAGATATAATAATAATCCACATGGGGAATCAAGAATATAGACACCCCTAGTATTTCTATGAATATAGTCATTTATGAAAGTTGCTTATTTTGCTCGTTTCATTTGTATTATTTGGATCATGCCAAAAAGAAAGAAGGGATAGCCTTAACATACCTAGAGTAGGGAAAACTCCGTATGATATTCTTGGAAAAGGTTGCACCGTACTTCATTAGAACCCCAAAATTTCTCCGTTGCTAAGACTCTAAAAATTCTTGTTGGATTTTCTTTTTGTAGGAATTTGTTGCAAGAAGAATACTTCTAAGATTGTAGTGTCTTGAAAATGAGATTTTGTTGAATCTCATCGGAATGGATAACGTCCTTTTACAAATTTTGGTTGTAATATTTGATATGGAAAATACTTGTAAGGAAATGAAGGTGTAATTGACACATTGTTGCCACCTAATAAATTTTTATCAAGAGTCATATAGAGAAAGAGTGGCTTGCTGCTACGTTACTCTTTCCCCATCTTTATCCAATTAGTTCTTTAATTAATTGGATAATCTCCCATTACCCAATAATTCAACAATTACCCGTATAATTAAGAATTGTCTCAAATTACTTAAAATACTACTTATTTTTCACATACCTTATACACCTTACTATCATGGTCATGTGATACCTTGTATGGCACTAGTCCATAAATATCGGGTATTATTGCTCGGCCCGTATTTTATCCCAACATGCCAAACTTGGACAAAAATTCATTTTCCTTCACTTGCTTTCCCTCTCACCTTCACAAATTTACTCATTACTTGTTCGAAATAGCATAATCCTTATAATCTCCAAATAATCTTTACCTTGGACTGATGTCAATTACCTTACGACAAATTCAACGTACAATACTACAGGGTGCAACATCGTCGTAATTTAATACTGTGAAGCATAACATCATCGTAATATAATACTGCAGGACGAAATATAGACGTAATATTGCGGGGCGTAACATCATTTCCCCCTTTGGAACATTCGTCCTCAAATGTTGACTGATGCTTTTATCATTTTCATAACTTATAGCTCTTGTGAATACCTTAATACTCTCCTTGCCATTTAGGAAGTTGTTCTGTGAATAAATCCAAAGGCCAAGGCATTCCCCCCTTTAGGCCTCTCTCCCACGCCATGACTTGTGATCGGATTCCTTCTAATCTTGTAACTGTTGCTACCTTTTATCATGCAACCTCTACGATACTGACCTTGTAAGTGTGCCTATGCGACTCTTATCTCCTTTTTCCTCCAGCTTTTAGCCAATCTCTAGGCCTTACTTTGTAAACATATACAAGGCTTAATAGGATGCCTCTCTAGGCATCTCTAGGTGTACTGAAGTTCTTCGCTCGGTACTTTGTAGAACTTGTGAATATGGCTATATCTTATTTCATAGACCTGGTTATCCATCCATATGACTTTACTGCAGCTAGGTAAGCCATACTATACCATAACTCTTACTTTGATTTATCGTTACTGAGGTCTGCAGCCAACTCCAGGTTACTCTCGTTGTTTATCCTTAAGACTGATGGTCTAATTTCATCTCATACTGTTAAACTTTTATCCATATATTGTTGATTTACCTTAATGTTGATTCATCTTCTACCACTGATAACTTGATCTTTTATGTAACACTGCCGCTAGGGCTCGCGTCTCATCGGGGACATCTGAAGAAATTAGATTGATCCACCTAGGGGTGATACTATACTATACTTCGATAACTGTTTTTCATAGCATCCCAATGTGGTTTACCTTATTTGGGTATTTTAATCATGTACACTTCATGAAATCATTACTCAATTGAAGGCCCAAACATCATCCTTTATCTATCACAATTACACCCTCAGGCAACATTCCATCTTTTCTAAATGCTACTAGTCTTAGACTCCTTTGAGTTCATTCAGGCTATATTGAGCTTTTTATAACTTAGAGAAACCATCAGCTCTCTTGTTTACATGGGCTTAATCCTGAGGACTTATCCATTCTCGTCACCTTCTCACTTGCCCTTTCTTATCCTTACCCCTGTCCTCCTAAAACCTTGTCGCTTTTCCATACTTTAGCTTGCGATCTATACATATCTATTTATACTACTCGCAACCTTCCTTCAACTTGTTTGCACCATAAATTTCCTTATGTTATTTTGGAGCATCAAGCGAGACACCGCAATGTCTCTAACTCTTCTTTATTCCCTTAACAAGACCTCTAAATACTCAGAAACCATGGGCTGGAAGGTATGTCACTAGTGACACTGCTATTATTCTTGGATACTGGATCCCGACGCTTCTAGTCCTCTATCTGAAATATGAATTATTCACAACCTTCTGCTTTTGAGTATCTCGTATGTTGTCCACCTTTACCTTACTTACCTTAAAGCCTCATATCACATCTTCTATCTCTTTCATGACCTCCCCTCCACATAGGTATAATTCACATCCACGTCTTGAACTTCTATTATAATACATGCACCTCTTTACACAATCTCAGGAGAGCTTCATACTAACTTCTTATGAGGCTGGGACACTTCTAGCTGGCTTTATTGTAGAGCCGTTATAGAATATGGATACTGTACTATCTCTTTGGTACTTCTAATATTGAGTGATTCTGCTATGTTCTCAATCATGATTCCTATAACTTCTGGGTCCAATAACTGGATTCCTGATTTACTTCGTTGATGTAACTCTTTAGTTTTCCTCCTTCTTCTGATCGACCTTTATGTCGGCTTAAGTTATCTCCCGATCTGTGGTTCATGGTATTAGTTATTCTATTTAGCCTTTCATGGGCGCTGAGGAATATGCATGATACAATCCTTTAACAATTTAATCTTTCGTCTAAGTCCTGGGCTCAATTCTTTCTTCGAACGTATACCAGAATCTTGTACGGCTATATATGCCGAATATAAAGCACCGAACCCTTAAGTGCATTCAAAACATAACCAACTCTGGATCATTGATCGGATAATTTCTTTCGTTCCATCTTAGCTTTCTTTCAACGTATGCTATTACTTTTCCTAGTCTTTTTGCCTCTTGTTGCGTCCATACTTAGCTTATCTTAGTGCCCACACATGCCAGAGTTTTCGTGAAACTCATATGATCTCGAATATTACTTTTAATTTACTTCCTGTTCATTAGCCACGGTAGGTGCCACTTTCCTTTGGAGTGTTTACAATGTTATTGTGAGACTGTTGTTACACGACCATTTCCTCTTAGGTCATTGTGATTAGGTTGAAGCCTTCTTCCTTATTTTCTCAGCTAGTCTTATCGTTGTAGTACTTAGGGAGAACCCTTGACTCTTATAAAGCTGCGATCTTATTACATCGTATACCCAATAAAATTTTTGATATCCTTCCTCGCCTACAATTATCCGTAGTTACTTATCTCACGCCCTTGTGCTTGTAGGGTTGCTTCTGAACTAATATTTTAACTGTCTTCCTAGTGGCACTCTCTTTTATTTCCATAATGTTCATACGATACCTTTAACTACCCCAAATCCTATCTAAATATTTCTCAAGAGTCGCAATGCCATAACTGCGAGACTGAATTTTCCATGTTGGGGTTCATTATGTTTGTCTTGCATGATCTGCTGATTTGTCTGTAACCTCTTGTCTAGCCACGAATAGGCTCTTCCTAAATCAACTACTAACTACCCGTTGACCCATTCTCATATCCATATTCCGCGTAATCTCTCTTGGGTTATTTCCTTTGTCTAACTTACCTCTTGCACTGGCTCCTTATTTATCAATAACCTTCCGGGCAGGAACCTTTACTTCATTTTCTGACCTCTGCTTACATAACGCTCTGGAATCATAGCATATATGTAGGATTTAGATATGTACAATCTTATTCCTTTCTCATTTTTATCGCACTCTTCTCCTTTACCATTCCATAGTTACTAGAACAACTTAATTCTGTCTTAATGCCACATCACTCCATATTTCCCCCTTTGAGG